ATGTTGCTCAATCAAGTTCGATTTTTCCATGTTCTAAAAACGGCTCGAAACCTCGTTATATCGGAAAATGTTATGCAAATTTTACTCTAATATGCAATAAAATGTAAGATTTATGCGCGCGTAAGTGAGATCAGAGCGAAAAAAATCTATTTAAATGATGCTAGTCGAGTTTACGCATTTCTTGCAAATTTAGTCGTTAAGCCTGTTCTAGGAAATGGGGACACACTAACAACCTCTGGTTTTACACCTAAATATCATGTTTGTGTAGCAAAAATTTATAACCGATTTATAAAGTTTGATGCCTTGTATCGCGTTCTTAAATAGTTCAGTTCACTAGTAAGTTCAGTCACGTTCAATTCTGCGAAATTCGTTAAGCACTGTTTGCTTAAATTTGCACTTAAATTTATTGATGGTACCTACGTATAAAATTTCATGAAATATAACTCAACTATGGGTATATGTATGGATTCTATAGCTGGAGACATTTTGAATTACATGGGTTTTGTTAGATCGCAATTGAAGAAAGATGACGAATTAAGACTTGAATGCTACATGAAAACGAGATAGTTTTAAATAAAATTCTTACTCAAAATTATTACTGACTTTACTTAAAACAGAAATATAATTTTTTTAAAGTTAAAACTATCAATGCTATTTTCTCTGTAGTTTTATTGCACATTTCAACCAATTTGGAACCTAAGGAGGTGATTTAAGCAAATAGTTTTAGCGTAGTTGTAGTAAAGACCGATTAATTTACCAGAAAATTTAGATTAACATGAGCGCAGCTACCTCTCATCGATCAAATTTACTTATTATTAATTAGGTGTTAATCCTCTTAATCAACTGCTTCTGAATTCACCCTGTATGTCTGGCGGAGTCGATAATTAAATTTAAAATGATGTGAACTAGTTTCCTATGCAAAAACTGTTCATGCTTAAAAATCAAAGCAATGCTGCTACACCAGCTCTGATTATAGTCAGTTAATTAATCAACATGCCTTTTGTAATTAAGGCTGAACGTTGAGATTGCATGTAAGATTCCAGAAACGCTGCAAAAAGTCTGTTATGATGTTCTTGTTTTTATTTACCTTGCCCACGTTGCGGAATTGGTGATGTAGGTGATAATTTTCCCGGAAAATTGAACAATATAAGACCCAAGCACGAAGTCTTGTTTTATCATGGAAATTTCACTTGCAAATTTCTAAAAAGAAGACAAATGGTTTGTTGCCACGTTAACAACTGTTACTTGGGAATTATATTTTAAGTAGCAAATCATATTTTGAATTTCAAATTTAGAAGCCCCAATGTGGAAATGTTCAATCGTTTATAAAGTGAGCGGGTTAGAAAAATATAAATTGGTAGGCACTACAATTGGCTTATTTTATTCGTTTATTATTGATATCAGTTATTTTGATAAGCTTTGAACTATTGAGAGAACGTCGCGCGTGATGTCCTTCATCCTGCTATTAGGAGTGCTGCGCGCGTGATTCCCTTCAATTTTTAATGAGGCCTCAAATATTTTCAATATATCTTGATGAATTGCCTATAGCAAAATCGTGCTTTACATAATCCAAGTTCACTGCATTTTCAAGTCGCATTACTGTGTGTTTTACTGTCGTAGTAAGTCACACGTCATATTTTAAAATGATAATTTTCGGCGATTTCGAATAATCACATGCTTGACTTTGCTCATTAAGGTGAGAAAATACTTAATTCTACACACAAACGTGTAACAAACATAATTCTTACTTACATTTTCAAAAACCTAATTTTGGAAACTAGCTTCATAGATAGAAAATAATAAAATATAGAAAATAATAAACTAGCTCCATAGTTTCAATAAATTCATTCGTTTTTGTAAGCTTATTAATACCTAATCTATCATGAACAGGTGGTGCAATTTTCTTAAGTCTTCTTGTAAAAATCCTCTTCCTTCTTAGTTATTATCATAATAGCTTTAGTATAGTAAATTAAAATCTGCAAGAACAGCTGAAATTCAACCTTATCTTAGAGCATGTAAAAATAAACAGCAACAAACCATTTAGTCCTGCCAGTTTTGCTTCCTCAATCAGGGTGCTAAATTCAATGGTACACGAAATTACTATACATCTTCGAGAAAAAATGACCACACGCTCGATATCTCTCCCCCAATCTAAAATACAACTTAATAAAAGCTATAAACGAACTATCTTACAAGGATCTTACACAGGCCCAATGAGATACACAACTTGTACGAGGTAAAGCTCACGCTTATGTAGCTAATAAGCTATTATAGCACTCGTATTTTTTCGAAGCTTTTCAATGATATCGATATATCGATTTAAGCATTTATACGGTATTTATTTCTAATTGATATTTTTGACCTGTGCTGACATGCGATTTTTTTTGTAACCTCAAAACATATTTCGGTTTATAAATTTGATTCTAAAGAATAGTAAAATAGTTTGCATGAAGATGGCGGACAAAACGAAGATTAAATAACTTATTGTTTGGTCTTGTCAATATCATTTAGTATCAGAAAGTAATTTCAACTGAAGTCAACTTTTCAACTAAGTTGTTAAATATCCGTTGGAACATCAAGGATAATGGCGTTCCTTGTTCAAATGATGTTTAGGAAATGAGCAAATAATTAAAGGAGTAAAGACAAAAGATGACATTGAAATTAGATATGAAGAAAAGGAAGAGACCCAAATTTGTTTTGCTTCTTATCAATCAGTTTACTGTTAGATTATTTTTTATTTATTATAAACTTGAGGGATTGTTGATATTATTTTAACATTTGTTGAGACTTAGTCAATATATACTACGAGCTAATTGCTTACTATTTACATCTTTAATAGTCAATAGTCGGAAATACATTTGTCTTCTTTTTTATATATTAATTCCATTGTTTTCAGTTTTACTGAATTAATTAAGTAATGTATTATTGTTTTAGTACGAAAAACAAATTACATATACTTCAATGCAAAAAGTAAGATTTGCATAATGAGATATTAGAGATCACTAGAGAGAAGAGAAACTTAACCCTTGTTGATTTGAGTCGTACGATGTTATGCAATTTGTACATAACGAAAAGTCTTTAATGTGTTATAATGAACTCAATATATTTAAATTTTTTATCAAATATAATTTGCGGAGTGGTAAATTATTCATATTATTCGGAAAATTCAAATATTTTTTTAATAAGAACATAAATTAAAATGTACATACGCGGACACAATCATTTTGAAAGTTTCCATCTGGAAAAAGGTTTTAAAAATCTGAAACTCATTGCATTCATTCAATTTGAGTAAGTTCATTTGCGAACTGAAATCTTCTGATCTGCAGCATACCTTCAACGAACGCAAACTGTGGCTGGCACCATATATTATCTCTAGAACTGTTTTAGTATTTCAGCAGGAGATTTATAGAGGTGAAAATTGTAAGATTTTTGTCAGGTGCTAATGGTACCCTGGAGTTTTAGCAAGGTAACGCGAGCTCGTGACGGTTTAGTGGAGAATTTTATTACAAAAATCACGGATTTCGGAAAATCCGGTTATACATTTCTGTTCTGGTCACTACAATGGCTTCCACTAAGATGATTATTGCAGTGTACCCAGATAATTGAAGAAAATATATTTGTTTTCAATCATTTTCCATTTTTTACCAAACGATAAACGGTTCGGTTTTCAGAAATAAAACAATTTTTACTTGGGTGCCTTCCCGTACAAGCAGTAGAGATGCAGGAGTTTCCTGCTCAATAATGAGTGCGTCTTCAAGCCTTTACTAGCTCACAATTTCTAACAGTAATTGTTCTCTTTTAAAAAAATATTTAACATTCTTAGAAAGACACATCATAAGAAGAAGCATCAACCGATGCCGTATCTAATAACAGTTGCTCTCTAATACATACAGGGTGATTCAAAATTGGCGTCATTCCTTTTAAGGGGTAATAGGGGCTCACTTGGAAGGTACGAGAAAAATATTAACAGTTGAAAATCGAATTTCAACTTTGTTATTAAGCATTAATTTGAAAGTGTTCCATGTTTAATTGGTAGCATATTGGAATACTTAAGCATTCAAAAAGAAAAATTACAATCTTCGCTTCAAATTACGAAAATGTTTGATATCAAAAAGTTATTTTCTACAACTTTTTGATGAAAAGTCAAAACGGCAATGATGTTTTTCGTCATCAACAGATGATTACAGGTGGGTAGCTCTTATCAATAAGAACAATAATTTGTCAAACTGTGACTTACTTTGAATTTCCTTTCACGAATTTGCGGATATGCGATTAGTTCAGGGGAAATGCTACAGTAACATAGCAGAAGCTGAAAGGAGTCACGCCAACAAAGGGCGAGGAGAGTGATTCCAGGAAAATAGTGGACGACAATAGATGTTCGAGTTCCAAACACAGAGAAACAAGTATTGGCCATAATTGCAAAAGAGCCTATCAGGGGCACTCAGAACATTGCACAACAACTGACACTTTTCCAGACACCAAATAAATACCGGCTACATTCCTATCACGTATGTAAGATACACATTAAACCAATGGACTACTGAACACCGGCATAAATTGAGCAGGAGTTAATTAACGGAATACGTGAAGCTGCTCGAGAAGAGTGCATAATAAGGTTACAGGGATTACACAAGCACTTGTTTGGAGTTACAGACTCAAATGTATGTTTTTGTAATTTGTAAACAAATTAATAGTTCGAGGTTATGAGCTTCGAAATACTTTCCGTCATTCAACGATTCCTGTTGAATTTACCGTTTATCCTTGTTTACCTTATTGTCACTTTCTGTATAATTCCATGGTTACCGGAGTTTTAAATAATTACGGAGCAACAGGTATTTACGTATTACGGTCAAAATTTCTCGTTTGTTAATAACAATTATTTTTTTTTACTATTTTTTCTGTACTCCTAAAACACCGTCAGACAACACCTCTAGAAGAATGACCCCAATTTTGAATCACTCTGTATATCTTAAAACTAAATATTTGTTTCAATAGCTCACCTCTATCTGTATACCTAAGTTATGAGTGCTCAATAGTACTCAGCCATTATTCCCATCACTTTGTCCAACGTGGTTCATCGTTTTGACTAAAACATAAATAATATTAGTTTTCATGCAGTTCATCAATCCACATTTTGGTAAACTGACTTTTTTTCTGATGGGATAATATGTAAAACCTGTCTATATACGTACTTATTTACGTTTAAGAAAAAAACAGCACTTTTTGTTGAATTCTGACAATTTGCATCTTAAATATTAAAAATTACTTTTTTTACAGTATAATTCTTTCATAACCTTTAGTGTTAAGGTGCTGAAAAATGAAAAATTCCTAACAATTACAACTCAAAAACACTAGGCTTAACTTGGCTATTTTCTGAAGAAGCAATTACTTCTCACAAGTAAAAAATCGCTTTTAGGCTGCTGCATCTGTTCAAATTACAAGCTGCATCGCATGCAAAGAAGCAAAGACAAAGTATATAACAAAATAATAGAAAAGCCATTATTGAAGCTGTTGTGCCTGATCATCAAGATGTCGATTGTTAGATTCATTTTTCCATATCGAAAGAAATATCTCATAGTCGGATTAACTGAATCCGTTTTGCAACTCATCTTAAGTAACCGTTCCAGCTATCGATCGATCATTATGAAGTGAAAAGATTTTATACATTTTCTTACTTCCAGCTCTTGGTTGATAAAGTATAGACTGCGAATGATTCTTGATTTGATGTCAAAATCAGCAATTTCTTGAGTCGTAAAAGACTGTTAACTAAACAGACAATCCTGGCAAGATTTTTAATTTCGTTTATACCTAGGTTACATTTTGATACTTTGTAGTGTGGTACTTCTTTTTCAATTAAGAGTGTATAAAACTGGCTTCAGTATACATGTAGGAGAAACTTAAACATTGACGCTTCGAGAAATCCAACGTTTTCTGCATTTAATTAATTCAAACATTCGCAGGAAAATCTTGTACAAAATAGAATCAATAGCACTTGAAAGTGCTGACATAAAAATTAGAAATAAAAAATCAGTGAATAGGTTACTTGTATTTTAAAATCACTTTCATTTATAAGCTGATCGGTTTTATTTATTTGCATTGATCAGAAAAAGTTAATTTCTTCCCCTTTAATGAAACATTTCCTGCTGACTTGCGTTTTATTTAATTGACTTTTACATTAGTAATTGGCAGACATTCCACTGCAAATAAATCTACTTATGTTAAATTATTCATTTCTTTATCAACGAGCATTTTAGAAAGGTCTTTGAAAAAACTTCCTACGCTCATAAGAACATTTTTATAAGTCGTTACAAATGCGTCTTCTTTAATTGCTCCAATTCCATAATAATTCATGTAACGGCTATTCTGAGCATTTGCTTATCGAATTTTAAAATCAATTTTACGAATGTCTGATTTGTTCAACATAATTATTAACTTAGTTTCCGGAGCAAATTATTTGCGGGACAATCGTAACCGGATATAAACCAAACATTTGAAATTATTCCATTGCAAGTAGTTAATGTTTAATCAACGAAATTACGTTAAACACAAGCTTGAAAGCATGAAGTTCAGCAATAACATGTTTACATTCGGTAATAAAAAATAAAACTAGTGATATATTTTCTTCAATAAAAAGTTTCTAAAAATCTGAATTTGAACTACTTATCTTGTTAGCAGAGAAGACTGCGTTATTTGAAAGCATAAAATTAGTCGTCTAGCCAAGCACTTCCTTTGCCATGTACGTACAACAATAAAGACGGAACGGGTTCAAGATTTAATCAGCATAACTTTTAACTAGCTTCATCAATATCTCTGCAACAAATTGGGTTCTTTCCAACATAAATACAGACCGGTCATTGAAAAGGACAACCATAACAGGACTGGATCAAGGCAGGAAACATCTAGAAAAAAGTTTCATCTGCTGCAACTTAACATTATTCAGCTGAAAACTTATTCTCAGATCTTCACTTTTCAATCATTTTGCAAATTCTTGCTCATTAGCTGTTCATCCAGTGAAACCCATTAGTGAATCATTTCTTCGCTTTCGTTTAAATGCATTAAATATCTACGAGTCGTAATTTGAATTGGATTCTTTATAATCAATCCAATTAGACTTTTTCCGAATACAGTTTTGCTATCTAAGTGCATTTTCGTTTCCATATTAATGAAAGTTACATTTACTTTGATTTGCTGTTTTTATTATACGTTGTCATATTACCCTGTAGATTAAATGGTACGACTGTAAGAGGCTCCTTATCATTTCACGCAATCTTTTGTAGTTGATGCAGTTGATGAAACGCACAGCTTTTTTAATTAATAGATGTTATTGTTAACTTAACTGCAAATTTGTCTACACCAAGCAATTATTTTTCTGGTAATTCGGTGCAAATGGAAAACGAATGGTAATGATGAATTTTAAGCCCGTTCCTGCCTCAATGGAATTACAGGTCGTTTCTAGATTGACACGTCTGACTTTAAAATCAATCTAATTAAAAAAGAGATGGATGGATGTGGTGTGATTAGATTGAAACGCAGTAGTAAAATCAAACTAATTATTGGTTAGACGTGAAACTTCCAAAGAATACCTGGCTATTGCATTGAGCACTGTGAGAACTAGATTACTCTAAACCGAGTAGCAATTTAACGATAAATAAAGAGTCTATTGGTTCTGTTAAAGTTTGTGAACATCTGGTCACTGCGGAGTAGATTGCTATCAGCTTGCTTGTTAGTTCAATTTTCTTTTCATGGTTTTGGAATTATTTATCTGATATTTAAATTTATTGCTTAGAAGGATTAATGATCAGAGTTTCCACTTTTTTACGTAAAGGCTACTTGTAATTTGATATAGAAGCTGTTGTTTCCAATTAAAGTATATTTACAAAATATTTCAAGTTATAGTGTTTTACAGTAATCAATCAAAACTTACATCAATTCCAACAATTTTAGAACTCAGCATTTGAGAAATCAGCGGTCTAGTTTGATATTAAGTTTTTATAGAACAATTTTATCTCAAAATACAGGCTTTTCGTACTCTAGGAAAGTAGTTAACGAAGCCAAATATAATATAATATAATCTTTATGCTAAATATAAAATAGATCTACTTGAGCTGGTTCTAATAAAATGTTTGTATAAATTAATTTAAGACAAATAAATTAAATGCGATAATAAAAGAAACTTGCAATAGAAAGGTTCCGGTTCGAAAACACACTTTCCTCTTTTTCACGGGCTATTTTAGACTATATTTTACGATAGCAAATTTTCATTTATCGCTATTACTTATACTGTGACATTGGTTTAGGTTGCACTACTGCATAAATGCAAGCGGGATTTTAACTTCCATATTTTCTTTTCTGCTTTCTTTTATTTATTTAAACAAACTACCAGTTTATGAATATAATATCGTCAATGAGAAACTGAAATAAATCACTCTGCATTTATCTTTCTTAGGCTGTTGAAAGTGCAACATTTAAGTATGCTTAACAAGTTTTTTTCTTGCGCCAACGCTCATCGATTCTTGTGGACCAATTCAATCGAGATCAAATGCGCCGCAATTCAGCCACAAACTTTGACCAGTTTATAGGCTGTAATAAGCTTGTTTAAACAATAGGTTTGATTATATAACAACTAAGCATTTTTAGGCTATTCAAATATTGACAATTAGTTTTGGATTTAATGCACTCCTACTGAAACAATCACATAATTTAATCAACAAGTTTGGGCAGTTAGTGAACTTGGTCGATATAACTGTATCGGCCAGCTGATTGACTGGTATTTATTTGAACTGGTGTGGGAATACTGTGGCAAACAAGTCTACATTGATTAATTGCTTTCAAATCACACAATTCAAATTATACATATTAATGCCGAAGACTTACTGAATTGTAATAATGCCTCGAAATATTCATAGAATGTTTTCTCAGCCTGAAAGTCACTTTAGGTTTATAGGCATGTTGTCTTGAATAATAGCTAGAATAAGTGAGGAATCATTCAAGAATGCGTTTCATTTTTTCAATTAGCTTTGTGTTCGGTTTTATTACTTAAGATGTTTACTTTAGGAAAACTTTTAGGAAAATACAACAAAACGCAGAACTTACTTTAATCAATTCTCTCAAACAAATCTTAACATTGACTAAGTGCAACACACTTAGTTAACAGCGTTTCGTTTCAGAAAAGGAAGCAGGTTGTAGTATGACACGACATATTGTTAATAACAGTAGTTCAAATTAATTACAACTTAATAACAACTTGAAACCTAATGTACAACGGAAACAAAACTGATAAAGACAAAAGCAGCAGAAAAGAAGAGTTTCCCTCAGATAACTCAAGGTGCAATTTGAATATTTGCTTGAAAAATCTAAAACTAGTCATATCCATGAGTCTCCACTAATGAAAGATTACGTATTTGTAAGTCAATATGATTAATACTTTTTTGACCCAAATTTACAGAACCAATCAGTCCAAGTCAATAATATCGACGGATTCCGAAGTAAAAGCAGCAATTAAATAATAAAGTATGTAATTGTTTGCTAACGAATATTAATTAAACCAAAGTAATAATTGTCTTCATTCGTTTTTTATAAGCATTAGTTCAAAAATGTATCGCTTTCAAATTATCAAATCCTCCATTAAAAATTGTTCTTTTAATGGAGGTCATATAGTTATGTGATCCCAACCCGATTAGACATTCAAACTTTTCTTGTTTCTGGCTTTTCAGATGATACGACGATTTTACTATGGACTGACTGGCTTTCAGCTCATTAATTGGAAGGTTTAAAAATAATATAATTTCAACTGAATTTTCTCCAAAGTTATCCAAAAATATAACATTTTTGTTGGAATATGGTATTGCATGTTACGGTTTTCCTTTGGTCGAACAATGATCATTCACGTGTTTTATCAAATAAAATTAAAATATGCTTCATAGTCACAGAAAATCTGAAATATATTTTATGGACAAAGCTAATGACACATCAGTTCTTCTATATAAGAACATAGACAAAAAACAGCAATACAAGACATAAGAAAAACAATAAAGTGAATAATGCAAACGGTCGGCTGTGTCCAGGAAATTCGAAGGGTCAAGGATT